TAATAAAGTTCACCAATAAAACTGGACAAAATAAGTAGCAAAATTAAGATATTTTTTCAACAAAAACCATTTCCTTTAAACAACTGGCCCAGTGTATACTAGAAATAGTCTAAGTTCAGTTGCTTTTTATTTTTTAATATCTAATTAAGACTTTGGTTTTCTAGAAAAATTTCTTGGAATATAATGACGTATTTGGATCTGCCATATAAAGTATTGACTGTAATCTGAGACAATTTGAAACATTTGGACAATTTAACCATAACTTAATGAGTCTTTACATACCCCTCAGCATACTAGATGCATAAAGTCTAAAGGAGACTTTGTCACCATGTCAAAATTTAATTCAATTTAATACACCACTAAGATGTTCAGAATGCTTTTGATGACAAAAAAACAGCGCTTAAAATTAGTGAAATATCTGGGAGTACTATCGTGCCACACCACTCTCCTTTCTAAACACAGCGCTCACATCCGTTATAACCATTAAGTCCCTTAATACACTTTACAAATGCTCCAGCTGGTGCATTACATATGATAACAGCAAAATTGATTTTAAACTCAATATTTTCATAGATAAAACCATCTTTTGCAAGAACTCTGAAATCTGCCAAAAAATTATGTAGATAATTAAGGTGAACAACTATATTCATTTACTGAGTTTTGTACTCTTTTTTCACAAACTTTTTTCAAATCTTGTACTCTGAAAGTAATCATTTGTATTTCTAAAACATTTTTTTAGATTATTTCATTTCAATTTTATTAATTATTTAAAATTATTTTGACAGTGATTTGAATTTCATGTGCGCATATTGCTTGCCGTTTCTGGCATGTCAGAGGATAGGGAAAACACCAGACACAATTTTGACATTCATTTGATTTTTGCGCTCACATATGGCTGCCTTTTTCAGCAAAATTAAGAGGCCGTATTATATATATATATATACCTGGAAAGATAGATAGATACTAAAGACCTCTTCTTCTAACAATGTCAAAATTATATTTGTGAAAAGAGATGGATATATCTATCTCTTCAATATTTGTGTATGTAATCCCCAGGCTGATCTTTGATGTGCAGCATGTACGGCATGCTTGACAGTCTTGACGCAAACGTAGTAAGTGCGGCGAAGTTTTTTATCCATTTATTTAATTAAATAAAAGAATAAAAAAAACTTTGCCGTACATTCTACGCATCGTCTTATGGTTAATTAACCATAAAATCAAAAAAATTACAAATTTAATTATAATTTACAAATTTAGGTTTGTTGTCACTCATATTAAAAACTAATCAATGGGGCGACACCTTAATAAAATAAACAAATAAAATAAAAAAATATTAAAACAAGGAAATAATAAAAAAAGTACAGTACATTAATGCAAGTAATAAAGGCAAATTTAAATTAAAAAATATAAACATACACTACTACATACAATATTAAACGCTATATTGAAGCCTATAAACTGACCGCTTTGGAAGATTCCAATCCCGGAATAAAAAATGAATTTTAAAAGAAGTTCAAAATTTTAATAAAATTTGCTATGAATATATTGAAGAATGGATAGTGAACTTTAGAGCATTAAACTGTTTCAAACGGACCCTTCTAAATAGTAAAACTGAATGGAAAGAAGTTTCTTCAGCAGTCGAATTTGTAATGAAGGAAGCAAAAGATATTGTTATTAATGACAATTTTTTCTTTGAAGAAATTCAAAGAGTAAATTTAAATTCAAATGAAGAAAAATTGAAGAAATGGAACGATGAGAAAATAGAACTTGACAAAAGATGGGTAGAAATCTTTCGGCATTTTAGAGTAGAACATACCCCACATAAAAATTTAAAAGTTTTAATAGAAATTTCTTTGTTGTCCAGGCACTAATGCTGCTGTTGAAAGGGTATTTTCACTAAGGAATGATTATTGGATCAGTGAGAAGTTGCAACTTTCTGTAAAAACATCTGCCGTCTTAACAGTCAAATTTAATATGCAAAATGAAAGTTGTTCGGATGTGGCTACATTATTAGACAAACATCCTCATTTAGCAAAAAAAATCCACTCTGAAGAAAAATATGTTAAAAAAAATAAATAAAGTTTTTATCGTTTTTTCTTTTTTTTCACCTATGAATTACTTGCAAAGTATACTCTTTTTGAACCAAAAATAGTTAGTCGCCTTAAAAAAACTAAAAATGTAATTAGATTATTGTCCAGGCACTAATGCTGCTGTTGAAAGGGTATTTTCACTAGGGAATGATTATTTGAGCAGTGAGAAGTTGCAACTTTATGTAAAAACATTATCTTCCGTCTCAACAGTCAAACTTAATATGCAAAATGAAAGTTGTTCAGATCTGGCTGCGTTATTAGAAGAACATCCTCATTTAGCAAAAAAAATCTACTCTGAAGAAAAATATGTTTTTAAAAGAAAATAAAGTTTTTATCGTTTTTTCTTTTTTTTCATTTATGAAATACTTGCAAAGTATACTCTTTTTGAACAAAAAATAATTGGCCCCTTTAAAAAATTAAAAAACGGAATTAGATTTTTGGGCACCACTTTTTAAACAAATCTCTAAAAACCCAATTAGGGTCCCCTAATATTGTGAGTCCAGGCCTAGGCTCTGAAGGCAACATTTATAAATAACAACAACTTTTTACATGTATGTTTAAATTTTGTCACTATTTTAGATTTTTATTGAATAAATTCCTTTATGTTTTTATATAAAATATTTATGGAGTATTATTCTCTTTTACTATCAGCTATCAAGCTAATTAAACTGACTAGATCAGCTTCAGCTTTAATCTGAAGCTAATGAGTTTAAAGCTGAAGCCGAAATATCAGCTTCAACTCCTACTTTAAGCTTGGTTTCCAATAGTTGTAAAAATGTCGCACAACAGTTGTACAACAATTTTGTTTTATAATGGAAACATTTCAAGCTTAAGTTGCGCAACTTAACGTCGGTTGTACAAAAAAACTTATGTTGTGCAACTGCGGTTGAGAGTTTTGAGAAAAATCTATTTCTGCAACAGTTTTTTGTTTTTTCTAGAATTTGCGCATTTATTCATTGGAAACCACGCGAAAACTATTGTACAACAATAAAGTTTTTAAAATATCGCCATTATTTACGAAAATATGGCGACACATGTATTAGAATCTCTAAAGCAGATTTTATGAGCAAAGTTCAAAAATATCCTGTTTTGTATGATAAATTTGATAAGGAGTTTAAAGACAAAATTAAAAAAAAAAATGCTTGGGAAGAAGTTGGTCGTCTGTCAAACCTAACTGCTAACCAAGCATAAGAAAAATATAAAAGAATTCGGAGTAGTTATCGAAGGTGTTTAAAAGAAAAAAAAATATCCCATCAGGTTCTAGAAGTAATTCAGTACTACCTTAGTTTCTCCATTTCTATTGGCTAAATACCTTTATTGATCGTGAAACAACCTCCAATATTTGTTCACTTTCTGATTCCAAATTAGAAGCAATAAATTTGGAGGAAAATGTTGACATGGTATGCGAGCAAGTTGAAATTATTCGTTGTCCATTAGATGAACTAAATACTAATTTACCTGAAGATGTGACTGAAAAAGATTGTATAAATTCTTGTATGCAAGTAGATTCAAATGAAAAAGTTAGGAAAAAAAGAAAAAAATTAGATTCCGATGACCTACTTGATAAAGCATTAGAAAAAATTAATTCCAATATGATAAATTCAAATGAAGTAGATCAAGATGAAGATTATTTATTTATGATTTCATTAATTCCACAACTAAAAAGATTAAACAACTATGCCAAAGCCTTTGCTAAAATTCAAATACAAGCATTTCTGCTCAAGTTGGAGTTTCCAGATAAAGGTGAACCAATCTACTCTGTTTAACCCATCGATGCATTGATTTTCTACTGCAATATAAAGAAACTTTAAAAGTAAATGAACTCTTGTAGTAGCTGTAGTAACTGTTGATAAAATATCTGAAAAGAAACTGTAATTTATTTTGTTTAACATAATTACATGATAAACTTTACATTTTGATTAAAACTAGCTATAAAGTAACCAACTAATATCAATTTATCATTTAAAAATATATATTATCATTTATTTTATCATTAATTTATCATTTAAAAAGACATGATCTAGTTTAATATTTTGTTTATTGACGTGAAAAACTTTTTAATAAAATCAAGGAGGTATAGTGCATATTTTTTTAACAAAAAAGTAACTTGAATTGTTATTCAAGGAGGTTGGAGAAAAGAGGTACAATATTAGATTAAAACAACAAAAGTTTAGGAAAACAAATTAAAAATGTGATAAATAAATGAATTTTTTTTTTAAACACATGACGTTAAAATAAAGATTATTAATTACATATACTCTAGTTATTCACTGGATTGTGGCCGCATGATTGAACATAATCCATTTGCCACGAAAGGCTTTCTTGACATGAATTAAAATAATCTGTCAAACTATTTCTTATTACTATTGCATTAAAAACAGATCGATTACTTTTTGATTTCGAGAAATTAAGCAAACATCTTTGATCTTTTAATTCTTTTCTTCAGTCTCCTTGTATAACAATTCCTGAGTTGCTATCACTATCTACAAAACCAGTAGGTATATAATGAGCTCCATCTGTTAGACGCAAATAGTTGTGAAAACAGGCAGTAGCCTTTATTATAGTTTTCACTTTCGATGCTTTAACTTTAATTGGAGATCTGTAAATTCTCCACCTGGTAGCCAGAATTCCAAAACTATTTTCAATTGTTCTACGACATCTAGATAAGCGATATTTATATATAGATAAGCAATAATTATAAATTACGACACCTAGATAAGCGATAATTATAAATTCTTTGTTGGACTGGAAGGTTTTTACCTGGGTATGATTTCATTAACCACGACTTAAGTGCAAATATATCATCTTCAACAAGAACTGGTGGAATTTTAGGATCGAATTTAGACACTTTAAAATAGACAGTAAATTAAAATCACCCTTATTAAATGCTCTACCAAATGTGCTTGCATTTTAAATAGAAGCATCATTATCCCTTCCATAACCCCCTTTGTCAACCATTGTAAAACAATATTTAGCATCACAGATGGCTAATAAAATCATGCAGTAAAATCCTTTATAATTGTAAAAAGAAAAACCAGATTTTGCAGGAGCCTCAATGCGTACGTGCTTTCTATCAATAGCTCTTATACATTGTGGAAAGTTCAAATTCTGATTAAATTCTTTAGAAATATTTTGCCACTCTTGTATGTCGTTAGGGGCTCTTAGAAATATTTTTATTAGAACTTCCCATATAGCACAACATGTTTCTTCAATTATATTACATACTGTAGCTCTGCCAACACGAAAATAAAACGACTGAGTTTGTTGTGATTCTCCTGTAGCTAGATATCGAAGTGTAACTATTAATCGCTGCGATGGGCATATAGACTCTTTACTGGGACAATACTTTTTTATTATTAAAGGTCCGATTAATGACAAAAGGTGTTCAAATCTGTCAGAAGACATTCTTGAGTATCGAAAAAAAAAATTCTATTAAATAGCATCATTTCTTGCACCAACAAACTAAATGCACCTTGCTGGACGCGTTTTTTAAATAGTTCTCTGACCCAAAACTGATGTTTTCTTTTTTTTGATTTTTTTTTATGTTTTAAAATTAAAAGTATGATGAAAAGTCGATAACTTAGAATAACACTTTTTTTAATGACCGCCATGTTTTTCATTTTTTATAAGTTTTTTTTTTTTTTTAATTTGAAATAAATTAAATGCTATGGAAACATCACGTTGCACAACAAATTAACCTACAACAAGTTAAACAAAAGTTGCACGATTGTTGTACAACATTTCTACAACTATTGGAAACCAAGCTTTATAGACAACATAATTAATGTGATGTAGGGGAAGGCGGGGAACATTCGACCACTTAGGTGGTTTTTATTAATTTACAAATGATTTTTTACCAAAAACATTTAAATTTTTTCAATTTTTAAATTTTAATAAATTTTTTGGTTTAAGACCATTACAAGTAATAGTCTTAAACCAAAAAATTAAAAAGATAATGTATATAAAATATTGATTTTTGTTAAATCTACCACTGTTTTAAAAGTAAGCCTCAAAGTAGTCGAATGTACCCCACCGGTGGGGTACGTTCGACCGACTAGAGGGGTACTTTCAGGCATATCATTATTAGCAAAATAATAAGTCTATAAGCTTTCTTTCTTATAAATCTTTTTTTGTACAATAAAAACTTTCCACAAAATATTTAAAAATAAATAGTAATAGCTGTTTACAACAAGATTTGTGAATTTATATCGAAATAAAAATAACATTGCCGTTCTTTCCATCTTTGTTGGAGTTGCAGACTTTAAAAGCGTTTTTTTTTTCAGTTCGATAACTTTTCTTCTTTTTGTTATTATTTTCCAAATAAAGTTTTTTAATCTATTCCCTTTCAGGAGTGTTAGCATATAGCGTTAACTTGGTTTCCTCTTTATTTATTTTGTCTTTGAGAAGCTTTAGGAAAAGGCCGCACATGTTTTTGCTTGGTTCTCCCATTAGGGTTCTACTTGTGACATATCTGGGCATGAAATCTTTTTGCGGCTTGTGGATCAGACAGTGAATAATTGAAAGTACTATTTTTCTAATACCACATTTTCATTTCTTTTATTTCTATATGTTTTTGTTACATATTTTCGAGGCATCTAAAAGATAAAAAAAATAAATTTTTGTGGTATTTTCAAGCACCGGTCGAATGTTCCCCAGCTAGGTAGGTCGAACCCTACACGTGTTAAATATAAACAAACGCTGTTAAAAGCCGAAATCAATTTTTTAAAGTAAACCAAACACAAAGGTTTTTAACTCAAGATATCATTAAACAATAAACAACAACAAAGTTTAGGAGGTTAAAATTGGAAAAGAGATTCTCTGCGGGTTATTTAAAATATAAAAAAATTACCTTTTGCATCAATAATTAGATTTTTTTCTATATAAGTACTAATACTAATAAAGATGGATCAATACTTATTTCCAGCAATAGCTTATTAACAGACAAAACATGGATAAAAATTTTAAGTGGTAATTTTTATCATGTTGGGAAATATTTGAAAAGGTCGAATGTTCCCCATGGTCGAATGTTCCCCGTCTTTCCCTATATACATTATAATAATATATGCGTTTTTTTATACTTAAATACTTAATTTTTTATTTTATAATACATTTTTTTTAAGCACATGTTTTTATAATATATAATACTTAGAAAATATTGACTTTTGCCAAATATTCTTTAAATAAAAATAATATTTTCTTACATTACTCTAATCGAGGTAATAAACAAGAGTATTATTTACTCCAATCATTATATTTGTCTCCCAAAGTTCACGCAATTCTATTATACATAAGTCTCTCACTAATTCTAATAATAAAAAGTTATTACTATTATTATTGTAATTATATTTACTAACCTGTTATTACTAATATTTATCAAAAATACATTCTGGTTGTTGATGTCACTTTTACTCATATCAGTATTCAAATATTGTCAACAATCAGAGTGCACCATGCAGAATTATTCTTGAACATGCTGAAAAATACAAAATATACATAAGATACAGTGCCGGATCAAGGAAGGGGGTTATGTTTATAATACTGATAAAATTTTTTTCATATCAATAAAAACTTTATCAGTATTATAAACAAAAGTATTATATTACAAGTATTTACAAGTATAGGTATTGTAAGTATAAGTTGTTATTATGTATATTATGAAATTAATGTTAATATTGCAAATGTACAATTTTAAATCAAAGTCAAAAAATATCAATGATTAAAAAATGAGGTTAATGCATAACTGTATTATTATCAATAATTCGTAATGAATCTAAAATAGAGTTTGTTTATAGTATAAAATATACTCATATTAATGGCTACTTGGTTAGTGAGAACGAGGATAATGGCAACTTGTCCAGTTTTTGGTATACCTAAAAAAATGTCAAAAGGTGTTTTTACCAACATGTGAAGATGTAATGAAATATTACTTGCTAGTAAAACCTCAGTTGAAACCAACAGCAGCTACAAATCAGCCTACTATCACAGAGGTCTCTGAGAAGGTTGCATTAACTATTGAAAAAATATAGTTGAAAGCTTCATTACTGGTGATTACTCATACGCGAATATTAAAGATGATTTGCTCTTATCATAATAATTACAAAAGATTATTGCGAAACATCAAGCGCAGCAATTATGATGTCAAAGTGAATGTTTTCAAAGAAGATGTTAGACATAAATTGTTTGACATCTGCGCCTGTAAGTGTATGTTTGAGAAATGTGTGAGGTAACGCGGGGTTACATTGACAGTTGAGTAACGTTGACAGGTGTTATATTAAATGTTTTTACTAGTCACCGGTTAACTATTGTTTAGTTAGTTTAACTGAAACAACTGTAATCTGTTGAATGAACAAATTTACCTATTTTTATCCATATAACTGTAAACATAAATAACGATACAATATGGCCTACATAAATTAAACTTATACTTAATTTCTTTAACGTTGAAAAACTTTAGTTATAAAGAAAGTCAAACGATACTATAATACAATTTTAAATGTATTTTTATGATGCTATTTCTAATTACTAAGCGTTTAAAATGATTTTTAAGTACTTTTTGTTTAAAAACACGCGTTTCGGTTTTGGGATAACATTGACAGGATTGTCAAAATTATCCCATAGGTCTGTCAAAGTTTACTCATAATGTGTGATTATTGTCATTACGCTTTAAGTGTAAATAAATAAACTATTGATATTTTCCTTTTAGAGTTTATGATCACGTGATATCCTCGCAACTACATAAAAAAATCAAGTTCAACATACAAATTGTATGATCTGGATGCCATGACGAAAACCATTAATGATGTTAATGAAAACAATGTCAGCATAACTAAAGCACCATTTATGTGCAAAATATAGAACAGTATTAATTAATTTACACTACTGTCTATGCAATTAAAATTGCATAGACAGTAGTGGTAGAGCCAATATCTTTAAGAATGGCAAGCCTGGAATTGATTGTATGCGTGGTTTTGAGGAGAGATGGAAAAACAAACTTACACGTCGGACTGAACAGTCTCTTCCTGGTAACCGTGCGTATGCATGCAATGTTAACGTAGTTGATGAATTTTTTGAAAAATTAGCAGTTGTTATTGAGAAAATTCATCTACAGAATAAGCCACAAAATATATTCAATGTAGATGAAACAGAATTTCAAACCGACATAGACAAGCAAAAAATTCTTTGCAAACGCGGTTTAAAGAGCCCAAATAAAACTGTCTGTACTTCAACTAAAACAATGTTCACCGTGTAGGTATACTGTTCGGCAAACAGTCAATTTTGATTACCATACATTGTTTATTGTACATATAATTTGATTACCATACATTGTACACCATATATATTGTGCATACACCATACATTGTTTAGGTCTTCATCTTTACAGCAATAGCGGTCCGGACAACACACATTACAACCGTTCTTCCCTAGGTTGGATGGAATCCCTCTAATTTATTGAATAGTTTGAAAAGATATTTATTGCCGAAACAAGCCAATAAGAAGGATCAAAGCTGCTAATATTTGACGGACAAAACTCTCACATATCAAAAACTGTATTAGACTTGGTTATTGCAAACAAAATTGAGATGCTTTGTTTACCTGCTCATACAAATAGTATTTTACAGCCTTTAGATGTAGGTGTTTTTAAGACAGTCAGTCATCTTGTTTGAGAATCTTTTATGATACAACACAATACAAAAATGTAGATGACGCAACTTTTTCACAATTACTGAAATTGATTACAGACGGTAAGGCATTCAATCAAAGCAATGCTATAATGGCTTTTGAAACTTGTAGAATTTTTCCACTTAAACGAAGTAAAATAACCAGTGAGAAATTGCCAACGGTGGAGCCTCTGACATCGGGTATAATTATTAGCGCAAGTAATAACGGAAATCAAAATAAGATTACACCGGCAATCAGTGACATGAATAATATAAACTCCGTAAGAATGCGAGTCACAAGCTCAGATGAAATAGTGAAAGTTTTGACTCCAAGAAAACAACTTGAAGCGGTACTTTTGATACATCTTCAACACACGCAACCTGTGAAAAGTGAAGAAAAAAGAATCACGAGAAGATTGGCGGAATGCCTGACATCTAATGAATCTTGTACAAGATTAAATGAAACAGAATCAACCAATAAAAGCGAACCTAAAAAAAAATAACTTACTTTTTTATTTATTCAAGTAAAAAGTATCAGAACTGAATTTATTTAAAATCTTTTAAATAACAACTTTTTGTTATGTTTTCAGCACTACTTAACATTTTTTTTGAAAAGTAGTAATTTTTAAAAAGAAACCGTAAATTGGTGCTAGTATATATTTCAAATTTTTTCTCTATTTTATTTTCGAAATTTTAATTATTATGTTACCCTTATAAGTTATTTTTAACATTTAAATTAAAAAACAT